CCAGGTAGGGTCGCAATTGGTGCACCAGGCGAACCTGGGCCAAACCCCCCCCCTGGTCACAGCCAACAAATGGTGATCTAAAGTCAGCTGTGGGTCCAGGAGGACTCCCAAATTGTGAACACTCTCTGAAGGGTGTATAATTTCACCCCCCAGCCTGAGAGATGGAATAGTTTGCCAATCTTTGGGAGGGAACATCAATAGCCATTCAGTCTTGTCGGGATTGAGCGCAAGCTTGTTCATTCCCATCCAGACCCTGACAGCCTCCAGGCACTGGCACATCACTTCTACCGCTTCACTGCGTTGGCACGGGGCAGACAGATACAATTGTGTATCGTCCGCGTATTGATGGTAGTTAATCCTGTGCCGCTGTATGATCTTACCCAGCGGCTTCATGTAGATGTTAAATAGGAGGGGGGACAGGACCGAGCCCTGTGGCTCCCCATAATTTAGGGGCCTAGGGGTCGACCTCTGCCCCCCAAACAACACCGACTGCGACCTGTCCGAGAGGTAGGAGGAGAACCACCAAAGAACGGTGGTTCCATGGCCTTGTCCACTTCCTCAGGCGTGATAAGTTGAAACTCAGTCCATAAACTCCGCTCAAGACCTTCCCCCGGTACCTCGGCTGGTACCGTGCAATTGGAATCCAGGTCTGTCCAAATCAAGCGACTTTATCCGTTAAATACTGAACAAATTCCTCAGCTCTACCTTGTAAAGTTTCATCCGCATCCCTCCCTTTCAGGAGGGAGCGGGTTATCCTAAACAAGATGGCTGGGCGCGATTCAGCGGATGCAATAAGAGCAGCAAAATGCGAACATTTTGCCACCCATATTGCCACAAGATAGGCTCTGATATAGGCTCTCATCAGTGCTCAATGTGCAGAAAAGAGCAAAAATAATGATTAGGGGCCTAGAGGCTAAATCATATAAGAACAGTTGCAGGAATTGAGTATATTTAGTCTAGTGAAAAGAAGGACATGACAGCAGCGTTTCAATATTTGAGGGGCTGCCACCAAAAAGAGGGGCTCAGCCTATTTTCCAAAGCACCAGAAGGCAAGGCAAGAAGCAATGATTGAAAATGAATCAAGAGAGAAAGAATGTCAAACTAAGGAGAAATTTCCTGACAGTAAAAACCATAAGCCAGAGAAACGACTAGTCTTCCAAAGTTGTGGATGCTCCATCACTGGAGGTTTTTAAAAAGAGACTGGACAGTCACTTGTCTGAAATAATCGGTTCTGCTTGAGCAAAGATTTGGACTAGAAGACCTCCAAGATCACTTCCAATTCTGCTATTCTGTATTCTGTTATTTTCTGTTATTCTGTCATTCACTAAATCACTAAGGTGGAAGGATCTGTTTCCAGAATCAGGTAGATACAGGTAGATACAACACAAGCCACCTTGCAGAAGAAAACACCAAGCAATCTAGAAAAAATGCATGGCTATTTTGTCAAATTCCTACAAACTACTGTGTTACACTCTCAATTCAAGAACTAAACCCAAAGCATCCCCATAGAATCTGCAGACGTCAATGGCAATTTCAATAGGATGGTATTGCAAGAAAAGATGGATGACCTCTATGCTCCTCCTCTTTATCTTTTTAGGCAAAAGCAAAGAATTGTATTCTCTGTGTTTCTTCTCATCAGGTTTCAGATACACAAAGAATAATTATTTAAATTATAATTTAAGCTCTCCATATTCTTTGCACCTATGGGCAACTATGCAATGCACTCATGGAGCTGATATGGCTAAATGAATATTTTTACTGCAGAAAAAGAAGATGGCATGTGATGTATTTTGCTTATGTTATAGATCTCAAAAACATTTGAAAAATAGTCTGTTGGTTTTCTTTTCTGCCATAAAATTGAAGATTTCAAAGAGATTGGTTACACTTCTTGGAAACCAAAACCCTGATATCATTCAGAGTTCCAAGATAGTGAATTTTTTTTTCTTCCTATCCTTCCAAGCCAATCACATTCATTAATGACTTTGTAAGGGGTATGATCTCTGTTGATTTAATTTCTTTCATGCAGGAACCATTAGTGCCTCTTCATCATCTTCCATTCTTCTGTAGCAAATCAGACTTGGATGAAGCAAGATAGGAAAAGTACTGAAATAGTTTCAAATGAATATGCCAACTGTATTCTTTACACACAAAAAATACTCAAGGTTACTCAAGGACCATCAATGGTTTCTTCTTAATGCAAGATTACATGTAGAAATGGGGATTGCAATTTGCATCCCTGAGCTACTGCAACTCTGGCCACAATAGAAGAATTATTCTATGGTGATATAACATAGTCACTACAGCAAATGAGGTGACCACTTATCCACATAACACAGATAATTTCAGAAGAGAAAAAGAAAGAAAAATGTAGCCTTAAGTCAGTGATGGGTTTCAAAAATTGTTTGAACATACTCTGTGGGTGTGGCCTCCTTTGTGGGAGTGGCTTGCCGCCCATGTGACC